TGTTAGAGATCTTCTGTCACCCCCCAGTCTTGAGCAGTTTGTGACCTCTCATCAAGCCAATGGTGAGAGATTTACTCTCATCCCTAGGGAAGAGCTTGGCTTTTATCTTCTAAGTTATGTATCCATTCCTTTGACTGCTGTGATACTCGCCTAATAGGAGCTGTCACTTCCCCCTGCTGCCGGATTCTTCAATTTGAGCTCTGCGTGATTGTTACTTGCCAAGTAGTAATAGCTAATGTTTCCCGTTTTCTTTTGCTATGGATAAGATGGGAAGGTCTAATTTTAACCTCAAACACAATAACTTGTTCCTGCTGAGACAGAGCGTACTCTTCCTAAAACTCATTTATGATGGTGCGCTCATGCTGCTTTGCAACATGCTCGCTGGCAGCCATCTTGCCACCTGCTCCTATTTGTAGCCTCCTGACTGGATGTAGTGGTGCAGTGAGAGCCAAGTCAGCAAAAATAAAATGTACACTAAATAATAGTGTTTACTATAGATTGGGAACTTATCAGAACAGGAAATTAAATTGTTACTAAACCTACAACAGTAAAATCAGCCTGTATATGCAGTAAAGCATGCTTGTTATACTCACTGTGGAACCTAAGGGACTGATTCTCTGCATTGTGTAAAAAAGATATTTGATCCTGCCTGAGCTGCACATGCTCAGTTTGGTGTATATTGCTAGAGAGTTTTTTTTTTTTTTTTTCTTGGGTGAGTGCATGTGATCAGCACAGGGCCAATCAGCACTTTCCAGACAGAGGGTCAGGGGTCCCTGCAGCCTCATAGGACAAACATGGGAGAATGGAAACTCCTCCTACAAGCTTTAACCAGTGCTCTGCTGGAAACTGATAGAAATCTCAAGACTATTATATACTGCTGATGAGAAAAGGTATTTGGCAGTTTATATTTACTTTAAATATTTGTATTTCCATGTTCTGTGTGCTATGGGAGACCAGATATAGGTTCTTGGCTATGTTAGAATATGCAGAGAACTTCACTAAGCACCATCTAAACAGGGCGCAGTTTAGTTTATTGATAGCACAACTCTGCATGAGCCGAAAAAAAACCTCATTGACCTTTCAGGCTGTGAACAGTTGAGCACATATCAAAGATTTAAAGTGGTAGTCATAATAAACATATAAATCCACCACTTGAATGCTTAAATGAGCATCCTCAAGTAACAACAAGTTGCACCCCTCTTACCTCTACAGGATGTCCCTAACATCTGGACACATAGATAATATCATTGTTTTTCTCTCAATATTCATTTTGCCTATGTGTCCAGACTTTAGGGACACCCTGTAAATTTCCCCACTGGGTGCTATTGTATTATAATAGTGCTATATTACAAGCACTGGACTTTGTTGATGAGGTGTGCATTTACCTAAGAGGGCCTCATGTTTTTGGGGCTCCTGGATGCTCTAGAATAGATGTACTGACATGTACAGGTGCCTGCTTTAGCAAGTTAGCTGCTTTTCCTTGTGGAAAGCACACTTACATCCGTGATAATAGCTCAGGTGAAAAGCATTGTGCAGCCTATTACAGCCATGTCTATGATGGTGATTGGGTGTAGAGTGAACTAGTTGAGGCACACTATTCACCTAAAGTTCATCTTTTCATTTTAGATAGAGTAGGGAATAGTTAGAATCCCTGTCAGGCTTCTTTTGTGTCCCATTTGTGAGACTTATTTTCACATTTTCACCATGGGAAATGTAAGGAAATCTCTGAAATGTATAGTTAGTGATTGTAAAGCTTGACATTTTATTTATTAAAATAACAAACATGTCATACTTTACCTACTCTGTGCATTGGTCTTGCACAGAGCTGCCCTGATCCTCCTCTTCTCGAGTCCCCCCGCCTGTGCCCCTTTCTCCACCCTGTTGAGTGCCCCCATAGGAAGCTGCTTCCTATGGGGACACTTGTGCATGCTCGATCCCCAGCCAGCCTGTTTGGGTCTATTCAGACACACAGCCCAGGTCAGCCCTGCTCTTTGCCCACAGGTTTTGACTGACAGCAGCAGTAGCCAATGGCTCACTCTGCTCTCTGCCAAGCCTGTGAGAGCAGAGAGAGGGGAGAAGAGCTGCTACAGATGTGCACAGTGCTGGATCAAGATTGGGCTCAGGTGGATATTTAGGGGGGGCTGGGGGTAAGCTGACATGGGAAGGTTTTTTTTACGTTAATGCAGAGAATGCTTTAAGGTGGAAACATTTTAACTTTACAACCACTTTAAATCCACTGTTAGGGCCTTTGTTGACTTCTGAAACACTTTTCTTTGTATACAAGCCCAAGGGAATGCATAAGCAGCTTTAAGCAGGTTGATGCAACTTAATAGGTCAGCAAGTCTAATGCACCTGGACTCTGATTTTTTATCTTTTTTAAGCATCCCCAATAGATTTCCAGTGCAAGTGGATTGCACCTGAAAGCATGTGTGTTTGCATTTCTAAGCAAGGCCAGAACCTGTCAACTTCAAACAGGTGTCATAAGAACAGGTGTACCCATTGCAAGATTTGCTCTCTCCTGTTCCAGTGACAACTGTGAATTGTTGGGTTTCCTATCACTTTCTGTCTCAGTGAAAGTGGTCTCCTTAACATTTGAGGGTAGATCTCCCCAGTAGGGGGAAACAGCGATGAAAGACCATTCAAAAATGTTTTGGATAGAGATACAGTTTATACCCTGACCCAAAATAAAGGCAAATATTTGCCTTTATAGTATATTCTCTATATCTACGGTTGATAAATTGTAGCTATAACTTAATTTTATAAATGTCAATGTGTATACATATTTTAAGCCTAGGGTTTAAAGGGTCATTTTCCTTGAGGTAGCCTCCCTGGCGGTATTCCCGAGTGTAGCTCAGGGTAAAGTTTCAGTATCAAAAGCGGTAACCCCGAGCTACACTCGGGAATACCCTGCAGCGTTGCTCCAGGATCTATTCTTTCTCTTACCTTGTCCTGCGATGTCCCCCCTGCAATGTCCTGGATGCATGCATCTGTCTTCTGGGTTCCGTCCCCTGCGATGTCGGGACGCACGGGGACGGAACGGCGGGAAATTTGAAAATGAAAAAAAGTGACATTCACTAAATTCACTACAATCACATAGTAAAAACATTACTGTATCAAACCATTTCACATACATTTTGTCCCAAGTGCTTTGTCCTGTGCCCTGCCTGCATTTTTACTGTTTCTGCCTGGAAACTGAAACGTCCATGGTGTCCAAAAAGTGTCCCTTTAGGTCAAAATCGGTTTTAGACCAGCTAGAGAACAGCGATAGTAAATCAGAACCACTTGCAGAATTGACTGGTAATGATTCGTGGGGAAATTTGTCATCAGACACTGAAAAGGTTTTTGCGACTTTGCTCAGTGATGTGCAAACTTGGCGCTATATTTCAAATTTCAGTGTTTTTGGTTTGATTATATTATTAAATTAAATGTTATTATTATAATCATTTTTTATGATTATTTAATTATAATTTATGATTTCGTGTTTCAAAATTTTAACATACCCGGGATGTTTAATTATTATTATTATTATTATTATACAGTATTTATAAAGCGCCAATAGTTCGCTCAGCGCTGTACATTACAAAGGGGGACAGAACATGTGACAGAACAATACCAATACAATGCAAAACATGAGGGGATCGAGGGCCCTGCTCTTTTAAGCTTACAATCTAGGAGGGAGGGGATGGTGGCACAGGAGGAGGTAGCTGTGGGGGATGGAGTGGTAGGAAGAGTGGAGGAGGTCGGCAAGTTAGCAGGGGGCGGGGTAGGCTTCCCTGAAGAGATGGGTTTTCAGGGTGCGCCTAAAGGAGAGGAGAGTAGGTGATAATCTGATGGAAACGGAGCGGTTGGAAAGGTGAATGAGTCTGGCAGCCGTATTCAGGATGGACTGAAGCGGGGATAGCCAGCGGCGAGGCAGGCCAGTGAGGAGGGAGTTGCAGTAGTCGAGTCGCGATATGATGAGGGAGTGGATGAGCTGTTTAGTGGTTTCTGGAGTTAGGAACGTGCGGATTTTGGCGATGTTGCGGAGGTGGAGTCTGCACGAGTTTGTTAAAGAGTGGACTTGGGGCTGGAAGGATAGGTTGGAGTCCAAAATGACACCAAGTACTCTGGCCCCGGGGCGGGTTTGATGGTGGCGTTGTTGGACATGATGGAGAAGTCAATGGGGGGTGGTGTCCGGGCTGGAGGGAAGACAAGAAACTCGGTTTTGGAGAGGTTCAGTTTAAGGAAGTGGAGCGACATCCAGTCTGATATGTCGCTCAACAGGTGTGTGATTCGGGCGGAGACCGAGGGGGTGAGGTGGGGGGTTGAGAGATAGATTTTGTGTGTCGTCGGCATAGAGGTGGTAGTTGAAGCCGTGTGAGAGTGTATGAGTTGGCCAAGGGAGGAGGTGTAGATGGAGAAGAGAAGGGGCCCGAGGACAGAGCCTTGAGGGACCCCAACAGAGAGGGGGAGTGAGAGGGAGGTGGTGGCATTATAGGTAACGCTGAAAGAGCGTTGTGACAGGTAGGATGAGAGCCAGGAGAGAGCAGAATCTCTGAGGCCGAGGGAGTGTAGTTTTTTGAGGAGGAGGGGGTGGTCGACTGTGTCAAAGGCCGCAGAGAGGTCAAGGAGTAGGAGCACTGAATAGTGGCCATTAGCTTTGGCGGTTAGCAGGTCGTTGGAGAGTTTGAGTAAGGCAGTTTCGGTGGAGTGTAGGGGACGGAAGCCGGACTGTAGGGGATCAATAGACTCTTGTTTGGACAGATTTCAGTGAGTTATTCCTAAAAATGACAGGCCTACAATAAAAAAAAATACATATTTCCATGCAAAAAAAATGTACCGCTTTGAGCACAGAAATATGGACATAATCAGACCGCCGGGCAGGTTAATCTGATCAGTATTCCCTTTTGTATTGGCATTCTCATTATTCACGCTATCCTTGACGATTTTGTTTTGGTTTACATTAGAAAGAGTTGTGTATCATTTTCATGACCTAATATGTTGTACTTTTTTCTTTTAAGGCTACTGGATTGACCCTGCTTGCGTTAGGTATTTACTCAGCCAAGAACGCAACCGGTGTGGCAGGTCGCTTTATTGAAGCTCGCCTTGGCAAGCCCTCTTTGGTCCGAGACACTTCTCGTATAACAGTGGTAGAGGCCATCAAGCACCCTATTAAGGTGAAACTTTCATATAGATTGTAAGCTCGAAAGAGCAGGGCCCTTGACCCCCTCGTGTATTGTTTTGTTACTGTATTGTCTCATGTACTGTCCCCCCTATAATGTACAGCGCTGAGCAAACCTTTTAGCGCTATATAAATACTGAATAATAATAATATATTTCACAACATCTGGCAATTCCCAGTACAGTGGCCTTTGTTATCTTGACAAAAGTAATGGCTATTAGTAAAGGCAAGCATGAATCAAAGTGGTGACACCACCCCTCCTAGAGGTCCTTTGTGACCTCTTTCTAAGGCATATGTGCGGTGTTTTTGTTTGCTGAATTCCTGGCTTTTTCATGCCTGCATCCCTGCTGGGAAGATTTACTTTGACTTCCTGCTATAATGACCACACAGGAGATGAAAAGTATCTGCTTAATTAACACGCAATAATAAAAACCTGCCAGGCTTTGAGTCCTTCCCCACTCATATTTGTTTCTCTGTTGAAAAGAGCCTGCTCACTTCTGTCCCTGTGAAAACACTGGGCTGGATATTGGCAGCAGAAAAGAACTCAACTGGTTCCAACTTTTACCTGTTCAGTTCAAAGATTAACAAATTGGACAGGATCATGCTTTTGCATGCAGTAACCCACAGCACCATACTATGCATACATTAACGCGTTGCAGTATTAAAACCACCTCAATACACTAATGCAGCGTTCTTGTGCTGCAGCACACCACCGTTCTTGAAAAATGGTCATGTACACTTTAGGCCATGCTGGGTTTTGTTGGCAGTCCTTTCAGAAAGAATGGGGTGCTTCAACCCCTTACCTGCAACCATATAGCAGATATACTGCTACACAGCGGCGCACAATCACATATATATATATATATATATATATATATATTGCATTTCTGGGTAGGGGGCACGCACTGCCGTTCACTGATGTCAATCATCCGGCGCTCAGTGATTACCGACAATCACCGATGGGAAGAAAGACTGTTTTGTTTACAGTCTTCCTCCCTGTCAGCTCAGGCACACTGCTCAGGATAGCTGTGCACAGCCATTCCGATCAGTGTGCTTACAGTGAAGCACACACCCTCCGCCCCCTAGTAAAACACTCCCTATACACAGTTAACCCTTTGATCGCCCCTCACATTAACCCCTTCCTGCCCAGTGCCATTAGTACAGTGTCAGTGCTGTTTTTTAGCACTGATCACTGTATTGATGTCAGTGACACCAAGTTATTTCCCCCCAGTTTTCGAATGCCCGCCGCAGTTCCACTAAAAGTCGCTGATCTCTGCCATTACTAGTAAGGGAAAAAATAAAATAATCCCAGTATCTATACCGCTTTTTGTAAACACTATAACTTTTCATATAAACCAATTAATTTTCATGTATTGTGAGTTTTTGTAGCAAAAAACATGTAGCAGAATACATATTGGCCTAGATTTATGACGAAATTTGATTTTTTTTATATTTTTTTTACTGGAGATGTTTAATAGTAAAAAGTCCAAATATTTTTTTTTTTTCTTTCTCACAATTGTCTGTCTTTTTTTGCTTATAGCGCAAAAAAAATTCACAGACGATCAAATACTACTGAAAGAAAGCTCAATTCGTGGGGAAAATAAAAGGATGTAAATTTAATTTGGGTGCAGCATTGCATCACTGCGCAATTGTCAGTTAAATAACACAGCGCCTTAATGCAAACAATGGCCTGGTCAGGAAGGGGGGTAAATCCTCTGGAGGGCAAATGGTTAATGCAGCGCACATTGCTGCACCTTCACATAATTATGCACATGCCTTTTTTATTGCCACACTGCAGTCTTATGGCTGGCATGTTCACCAGCCCGAACTGCCAGACTAGCGCAGTGGGGGAGGGGCAATGTATTTGTCCACCCATAATTGCATCACACAGCATAGCTCTTTTTTTTTTTTTTTTATCTGTCACAAAAAATCTTGAGTTATTACTTTATACAATTTCTAATATAATTTTTTTTCAACTTCATCATCAGGTCAGCAGACGTCTTTTCAGTAGAGTCCAGGATGCCCTAGAAGGTGTTGTTCTCAGTGTAAGTATTAGACTGTCCATGTAAACTGATCATTTCAATGCAACACTCAGCCAACCAATCAGGTTCTCACTTTCCTGTTGCTAGGGCAGGTTAGTACAGGAAAGGAAAAAGCTGAGGCTGGTTATTAAAGACATAGGAAACATGGTATGCTTATGGAGCCTGCATAGCTAGCTGCATAGTCCTACATCTATTATTTATTACAGGTAGTTGTATGGCGTCGGCAATTTACGCAGCTCTTTATATACTGTACATTCCCTATCTCGTGTGTGTATGTATTATATTAGGGCCAATTTAGACAGGAGCTGATAAAATCTACCAGCACGTCTTTGGAGTGTGGGAGGAAACCGGTGTACCCAGGGGAAACCCAATAAAGCACAGCAAGAAAATTATGAAAAGAAAAAAAACTACCTGTATTTGCTTTTTTTTTTTTTTTTTGTAGCTAATCATGTTTTAATCTGTCATCGGTAGGAATATCCCTTCAATATTGTGCTGCCATTATAATTATATGGTGGCGAGGAATGAGCACAGAAGCACTATGGCTATTTCTGAATCCTAATTTTGGATTGTGTCTTTTGTAATTTATTTATAGATGAGGTACGGGAAGAGTTAACTTCTGTTGTGATTTTTGCCAACTCAGACAGGAAATGTCCCCAACAGGGAAAACAGTATATGACACCTTGTTTGGAGTACTAGAAGCTGTAGAGCCTCTGTCAGGTTTTTTATTACAGTAGAACCTAAGGGCAAAAAAAAAAACCATTCTGTACATCTCTGAAGTGCATGCACATTTCTCTGTGTTTTTTTTTCTTTTTTATAAGCCTGCAAGTACAGAAAAATATCTGTTCTGCCAGAAATCCAGTGAATTTGTTATTTCCTGTTTAAGCTGACAACTCCTGCCTCTGTTGTACTGAAATCCCAAGCAGTGTTGTCAGCCCTACCTGTAGTTTTGACTACAAAACACATCCTGAGGGGGGGAGGACTACAAAACACATCTGCCTTAAAGCGATAGTAAACCGCAAAAAAAAGAGAGAGAGAAAAATTGGGCCCCTGCGGGATAAAATCATCATATGCAAGTATGCACTGCATATGACAGACTTGCCTTTAAAATGAAGTTCCCCAGCAGAAGCGCTACCACCACCACTGACCACTTCACCATGTCTTCTGGTTCGTTCGCGGGCTCTGGAGCTGTTTGAATGACCGAACCGTGATGACATCACTCCCGCGTATGCACACAGGAGTCATGGTCGCTGGCTCAATGAACGTCGTTCATAAACATACAAGGCCATATATGCGGCCCTTTGCACGCCTTTACTGGTGCTGCTGGTAAGCGTGCCTTTGAGTATCTGGCACTGTATCTGCCATTCCTATCTCATTTGCTATCATACCCTACAGTTCCTTGTGTTACCTTTCCATTTCCCAGCTGTCGCTTGCCATGAATCCAGTCTCCGGCTGTACTCCATTAAGTATCGGGGTCATCCTTGTGTTACTTGCTAAGAAGATTAATTGGTTGTGTGGACCCTTACACCTTTAACAGGCTCATGTGCGGAAAGGCTGCCATAAAATCAACCAGTGTATATTTCTCCTCAAGTGGCTTGTGACTGCTATTGATCTAACCCATAAAGACTGGACCTTATCTTGTTTTGTCTTTTTGAGGAAGCACTCTTTGTACTTTTTTAAAGTGGTCCTGTTGGTGCATTACTTAAATAACAGGCCCCCTGTAGAAGAATATTTCATTCTTTCTTTATTGCGAATGGCGAGTAAATTCTTCCCTGACTTTCCCATTGCTATCCGATGCACACTGCTGTGAATGTGTTCGATAGCATATCCCCCACTGGGTGCTGTGGTTTCTCCCAACAACTGCTATGTTACTATAGGACACAGCCCTGGAGCACAGTTAGGAGACAGCTTATTGCAGTCCCCTGTCCCCCAAGGCTGCAGTGTAAGAGAGAAAAAAGCAGTACAAGGAGCCAAACTGCTCGGAGAAAGTGGGTTGAGTGACGTTGGCCATTAGATTGAGGACATCTACTGGCAGAAAAAGTACTGTTGGGGGGGGGGGGAAATCTTTATAAATATAAAGTGCTTATCGTACAAATAAACTGGTTTTGTTTTTTTGGGGGGTTTTTTTTCCATGGGCTATTAACTTATGTTTTATTTTTGGCTGGATTTCTGCTTTAACCCTTTTTGTAAAAACTACATCTTTCTGTGAAAGAATCCTATCTGTTACCATACCCAGGAGGGGGGGCTGTGGGAAAGGAGGGGGGCAGCATGATGGGGGGGCATCGGGATAGGTGTGCAGGGGTAGCAGGACAAGAGGGGGGCAGTGTGACGGGGAGGGCAGCATAATGGGGGGCAGCGTGACGAAGAGCAGCATGACTGGGGATAGCATGATAGGTGAGGAGGCAGGGGGACAGGTGCAGGGCAGCGTGACGGGGGGGCCACGGGACAAGAGGGGGACAGTGGGACAGGAGGGGGGGAAGTGGAATAGGTGTGAGGCAGCAGGAAAGGAGAGGGCAACGGAACAGGTGTGGGGCAGCAGGAAAGAAGAGGAAAGCGGAACAGGTGTGGGGCAGCATGACTGAGGCAGAATGAAGAATGGGGGGCAATGGGACGGGGGGAGGGAAGTGTGACAGGTGGGGGACAGTGTGTTAGGGGGGACAGTCAGGAGTGGGTAAGCACCAGTCCTCCAAGCTCTTATCTGTCCAGCAGCGGCTCCAACAGATGGTGTCAAGATCACTCCAGGAGGGGTACCTGTGTCCCATCTCCCCCAGGATCTCCGGCGGCAGCTGCCAAAGAGCTGGGGGGTTCCTCCACCCTGACCTCTTCCTCCTCCTCCACAGGCTCTCCACTGGCACCTGCTGGCCATCCTGCACATCCCAGCGCACACTGACAGCAGCCCCGGCCCTCACGCACTCCTAGCACACACCAATGATCCCCCCACCACTCTACCCTCCTCTGCAGCTGGTCCTTTGTCCTGGGCGACCCTACTTGTGTGTTGGCTTGGCTGTACCCCCACCCATGGTGGTCCTGCCGCCGACACACACAGTATCCCTTCTGCCTGGGGGAGACGGCGCCGTCCCCCTGTAAATTGCCGCACAAGGCAAACGCCTTGTTTGCCTCGCGGCAGATACGCTTCTGACCATACAACTTCATATTAGTAAATGTGGGACAGTTTGAACTTCTATTCCTCCTCCAAAATGTCAAAACAGAGTTGCTCTGAACCATAAAAAAAAACTATTCCCATGATGCAGTGCATCCTTTCATTCCTTTTCTCTGTGTATATTGTGCAGTGAATCAGCATGATTTAGTGGTAGGTTGAGCACAGAGTTTTTTGACAGTAGACTGCATGTTAGGAGGTAAAGGTGGGTTAGAAGTTATGTTCACTGATTTCTACATCTCCTCCTTTTGGAACAATAATCGTTTGTTACTGTTCTGGTTTCCAGTGGGCAGAGTTTTAAATTGTGGGTTGGTCTGTTATTTCTCTGTTTCAGCCAAAACTAGAGGAACGAGTGAGGGACATTGCCATTGCCACAAGGAATACGAAGAAGAACAAAGGTCTATACAGGAATATTTTAATGTATGGTCCTCCAGGGACTGGAAAAACACTATTTGCCAAGGTAACGGGCTAAGCCAGTCTGATTTTTTTTTTTTTTTTTTTTTTTTTTTTTTTTTTTTTTTTTTTTTTAACTGGGCTTTAATTGTATCTAAGAGGCAATGTCCTCAAACCTGACATTTTGGTTGATTATGGTAGAAAGCCACTCACACTTAACTTCCCGCCTGGCCTATTGTAAAATGATGGCTGCGTAACCACTCTGCAATCCTGCGTGGACCTCGTCCTGTGCTCTCCTCGTGCATGTGCTAGGGGATGCACAGCAGCACTATCTGTCACCCACTATGTCCACTGAATACAGCAGAAGACAGATCGTTGCACCAGGTCGGCCCAGGTAAAATGTGATCGCTGTGACCAATGAGGGCAATCACATGTAAATCGTACACAATGTCTTTCATTCATAGCAATTCATTGTGTACTATTGTGCTTTCCGTGATTGGTCACAGTGATCACATAGTACAAGGGCCAGTCACAGTGGATTTGTACTACCATGTGATAGCATTGTACTGCTCTGGACATACCATGGGAAAAGAAAAAAAAATTGGAACCCCCCAAATTTTACAAAAATTTAAAAAATTGTAACTTCAAAAAACTCACAATGCCTCATAGTAAATACTTTGGACTGCCTACTTTCCCAAAAAGGGTCAGTTGGGGGGGGGGGGGGGGGGGGGGGGGGGGGGGGTGGGGGGGGGGGGGGGGGGGGGGGGGGGGGGGGGGGGGGGGGGGGGGGGGGGGGGGGGGCACCATCCATGGCATTTTAGGGCCTCAAGAAATGAGATGGGGCATCAGTACATAGTTTGTAGACTCAATAACGTTGACTCAGACTAAATATAATACACTGATTTGAGTTATTTTGATCAATAAAATGTAGCAGAATACATTTTCGTCTAAATTTATGAAGAAAGATCCTTTGCAAAATGTTAGAACACAAACAATGAAAAGCATGTTTGTTTGTTTTTCTATTTTCTGTGTTTATGTAGCAAAAGAATAAAAAAAAACCCAGTGGTGATTAAATACCATCAAATGAAAGCTCTATCTCTCTAAAAACGAATAAGAATGTAATTTGGGTACAGTGTTGCATCACTGAGTAATTGCCATTCAAAGTGAGACAGCTCTGAAATCTGAAAATTGCCCTGGGCAGGAAGGGGGGTAAAAGTGTCCAGTATCGAGGTGGCTAATAATATCTCTGAAGAAATTAGTGGGGAGATCTCAGAGTTATTCACACCTTCTGTGGTTATAGTAGGGATTCAACTCTCCATGCTGGGTTTTTATCTCATTTTATGGAGAATGCCTCAGAAGGTGTGAAAACAAGAAATACAGTAGGTACGCTCATTGAGTGCCAGTGCTCACCATTCATAATTGTACATAGGTTTGCACACAGGTAACATTAACAGTGGCATTATCTTTACATTTTTTTCTGGCCTTTCAAAACTACACTAATGAGAACCAGTTATTTTCAGACTCCAGCATGAATTTAAACATTTAGTCTTAAAGGGATCCTTTCAGTTGATAGAACAGCAACTTTGACCTCTTTTAAGCTGAAACGCTGCATTGCAGTAAACAAGGGGGCAAATGTATTTTATTTATTCAATACAGGTGCTTGTATAGTACCGTCACTTTACATATTTATTATACAGTCACATCAGTCTCTGCCCTCAAGGGGCTTACAATCTAAGGTCCCTAACTCACATTCATACATACACATACTAGGCCAATTGAGATAAAAGCCAGTTAACCTACCAGCATTATCTTTGGAGTGTGGAAGGAAACCGGAGTACCTGGAGGAAACCCACATAGACACAGGGAGAACATGCAAAGACTGTGCAAGTAGAGCCATGGTTGGGATTCGAACAGATGTTCCTAGAGCTGCTGGGCGAAAGTGCTAACTACTTAGCCAACTGTGCTGCCTCCAAAATATACACTTTTTTGCAAGTAATCTGAATTATAATAAAAAGCTGAGTATTTGTAGCTCTTTGTATATGTCTAGACCTGACTGTTTCCTTTATTATACAAAGTACACAGTCTGCCTTCCCTACCTCCCCCCCCCCTTCACGGCATTCTAATTATTTCCTGCGGGGACCTTTCAAGAACCCCACTCCGCTTTTTAAGACTTCTTGTCCTTTCCTCTGTATAGTGATAAAGGGGTTAATATAATTGCCTGTCTGGTTTTGCCTGCCCGGCTCATGCACTGTGTAATTTGCACAGTGATCGGTTTACTGTACTGCCTGGTGCAGAAATTGCGCCTATTGATTTGTGGGCTGACAATGTGAGCTGTGCGGCTACCCTGTGTGGTCGTCTTTCTAATTGAGAAATGGGCATTATTTATGTGACACGTAGACACAGCACTCTGGTTGATGGGTTTGATATCCGCCCCCCCACCCTCTCTTCCCAAAAGAGAGATTTATGAGCATGTTCCCTTGTGGGCATTAGAGAATGTTTAACAAGATCATTGATAGAGCCGCCAGTGAGAAATGAATGTCTCCTGAGACCAGAAGCCTTTCTGTTATGTTGGTTCAGTGTCTGGAGTATATGGAGCATAGCAAACCAAAAGTTTATATTAGTTTGAACTTCTTGCCTTCTATGTATCGGGTAATTATTTTTTGATTGACTTTTAAAAAATAAATGTTTTTTTTCCCTGTAGAAATTAGCCATGCATTCTGGCATGGATTACGCCATCATGACTGGTGGTGACGTCGCCCCCATGGGGCGTGATGGAGTTACTGCAATGCACAAAGTGTTTGACTGGGCAAGCACTAGCAAGCGCGGGTGAGTAACCAAGTAGAAAGTGATAAGATCGGGAATTATTATAAAAACTGATTTGCGTCTAAACTGACCACATAACCCCTGTGCCTGGTTCCCTGTAGCTGTGATACATGTGGAATAATTTTATAAATTAGTTTTGTGTGCTCACACCTTTTCTTCAAAATGCTGACGCTCAGGAGGCCTAAATGGAGAACAAAAAAAAAAAAAAAAAATCTCTGCTTCCATTAACCAATAGAAGGGGTTTTTCATGCATCTTTATGATGTTATGCAGTGGTAGGATGGGCAGAGACAGAAATCTGCTCCCATTGACTCCTATTGGTGCTTGGCAAGCACAGAAAAAATAGTTTGGGAAATGTTAGCCACATTAATGGCGGTGTGTTGAGTTATTTTGAGGGGACAGCAAACTTACACTGTTATACAAGCTGTACACTCACTACGTCACATTGTAGCAAAGTGTCATTTCTTCAGTGTTGTCACATGAAAAGATATAATTAAATATTTTCAAAAATGTGAGGGGTGTACTCACTTCTGTGATATACTGTAAATATATGTGGGGGGAAAAAAAGAAATTACATACTGAATATTATCATTACAGGTACAGTATTTACCCCTTACAGTTATCAGAATCGTTTTTCACTATAGGGCTCCTTTTTATGGTTCATTCACACCAGATAAAAAGGTATTGCTTGAACATGTACTGCAGTAATATTCACTGAAATCATCTGTTGGCTCTTAGACTAGGCTGTCTGTCTGGCTCCATAGTGTTATGTGTAATTGTTGGCACTCCCGGCTTGATAAAACCTATTGCTTAGGATTTTTAGGCTGATTCCTGTCTCTCTTTTCACAGCCTCTTGCTTTTTGTGGATGAAGCAGATGCATTCCTAAGGAAGAGAGCAACGGTATGTAATCACTTTGTCATCCAGTTTCCTAAATATGGTTTGTCATGACCTAGATAAACAGATCATGTTTTAGAAATCATCCATGCAGAAATTCACAAAATTATTAAAGGGAATGCATATTGTTTTTTATGTATTTATGTAGTAATTCTGTTCAGTACTAAAAATGTCATGATTTTTTTTTCTCAGATAAAATGTTATTGAGTTCTTCTATTTCTTTCAAAAAACAGGCACTTGATCTAAGATTCTCCATCTTCGTGCAGGCTGACAACCTAAACCTCAGAGAGATCAGACTGCACACACTCCTAAATTACTCACAAGAGGGGGGGGGGGGGGGAGGTAACGCACCCTTCTTCACTACTAGCAGTGGAGGTTATTTAATGTATAGTTGTGCTAGAAGTACAGCTACCCTTTAAAATGAAAACATATAATATTTTTCCTATAGGCTTCCCACAAATGTTTTATGTAACAGGAAAGGCTTAGTTGGCTTTATTTATTTCAGGTACTTTGTATAGCGCCGTCAATTTACGCAGCGCTTTACATATATATTGTACATTCACATCAGTCCCTAACCCTCAAGGGGTATACAATCTAAGGTCCCTAACTCACATTCATACATACATATACTAGGGCCAATTTAGACAGGTGCCAATTCAACTACCAGCATGTCTTTGGAGTTTGGGAGGAAACTGGAGTACCCAGAGGAAACTCACGCAGGCACCGGGAGAACACGCAGACTCCAGGCAGGTGATGCTGTGGTTGGGATACGAAACCAACAACCCTAGTACTGCCAGGCAGAAGTGCTAACCATTTAGCCACTGTGCTGCCCATTTGAGAATGTGATAATGCAGGCTATTATAGTGCCCCTATGGATCCTCTTCCAAGGATCTTATGACTTCTCTTCCAAGGCACCCAAGCTAGGCAATGCTAAATCACAGCTACTACATAATTGCATATTTGTATTGTTACACATAAATGTGGATGTGCCCCCTATACATTTTATCTGTACAGATTCCATGTAAATTCACACAGAAAGAAGGCAGGCTATTGCAAAATCAAAGGCAAGTGACCATAGTATCTGTAGACACAACTCTGGTCTTCTCACTTGAGCGAATTGCAGGATACCCAGTTAAATAAAGACAGATTTGGTTGGACATATGTCTCCTCTACTTTGTTTTTCAGGAGAAAATCAGCGAAGATCTGAGAGCCACACTAAACGCCTTTCTGTACAGGACTGGAGAGCAAAGTAACAAGTGAGTCGTGAGCTGGTCCTTTGCTACAGACTGTAAAATGACGTTGTGTGTACCATGAATGTCTGTGTCATACCTAGTTCATTGGAGGAACGGTCATTAGCAGGAACATCTAGTGGTGTACAGAGGACCACCAGCTATTTTGTGAGGGACACATTATTTCTGGTGCACAGATGGGTGCTGTGGCCAACTTTTCTTCTACACCTGTTTATCTCCCATGATATTACCACATTTAAAGATTAGCCTTTCTTGTTACAGGACTCTGTTTAACCTTGTAAACGTCTGGGAAGTGAAATCCATGATGACTGCCTCTTTTAGACAGCCTTAGGCATATGTATTACAACACTGATGTGGGAAGGTTAATTTGGACTCATGGTTGCTTAGTAGAGCAGTTTTGAGTTTAACATGAAGAGATGTGAGCATTGCCTGTTTATTGATGGATTCCTGCACTGAATGATTCCATAAGGGCTTAGTTAAGGGCACGTTCATGATCCAGGTGACCTGGGACCAGATGATGAGATTGGGGAAAGTTCCTGATTTTCATATGCCAATTGATGGTTTAAGTTCAGACACTTGGGACTAGTTCACAAGCTGCTTTTTTGTTTGTTGTTCAGATGGGTTTTTTTTTTTATACTGTACCTTATCTAACTTTTAAATCTCCATTCACATATGTGCATAGCATGCTTTATCTGCCTTGCTCTATATTTCACCACTGCTTTTGATGATATAACACCCTCAGCATTATTTTATTGTCCCTTAAAAGAAAATTTTTTTGTAAGAGTCTACTTACAAAAATTACCACACTAGTTATAACACCTTAAAATAATAACTTTGTTTTAGTTGGTGTTCATGGAGGAAGTACAGTGTCATTTGAAGTGGTGGTAAAATAAGACTTCTTGAGTTAAAATAATGATTTTATGAGGAAACAAGCCTTTCAACAGTTAAAGTGCTAAGGGTAATTTATTAAAAAAAAAAAGTAATAATTATCTGCCCTGTGCAATCATTTTTGCACAGAGCTGCCCTGATTATCCTCTTAGGTCTCCTCTGGCACTCCTGGCTCCTTCCTCCTCCTGAGTGCCCCCAAAGCAAGCAGCTTCCTATGGGGGCACTCCTGAGCCGGCTCTGTGTCCACAGACACATAGAGTGTGGCTGGAGCACTCCACACCACCACCTCCACCCCTGCTCCCTCCTCAGTGGCTGTGATTGACAGCAGTAGCAGCCACTGGCTCCCACTGCTGTTTTTGAATCAATGAGGGAGAGAGCTGGGAGAGTCTTTGTTCTCCTGCACATTGCTGGATTTAGATTGGGCTCAGGTAAGTATTCGAGAGGGGCTGGGGGGGGAGCTGCACACAGATTATTATTTTTTTTGTAGAATGCATGAAGGTAAGTAACCTTTAGCCTTTAGAATAACATAAAACGTTCAATTCGTGAAGACAAAATGGGTATACGTCTTTGTGACATTTTATATTTGTGAATTGAACATTTTTAGGTAAAAGTTAGCATGAGGTACATGGGGGTAGTAATGTTCACAAAAAAATAAGAGACCCCCAAGTCATATTTTGGTGCTTCATATACCATCCAGGATATCTTAATTCAATAATGACGTAATTTCATAAGCAAAAGTGACTGCTGAAGTCAATGAGAGATTTTTACTTTTAATGTTATCGAATATCCTTTGCCTTCATTTCTGTAGTAGACCTTGTAAAATTTCCTTTTTCTCAAGAGGCCAGAACTATAAAAAGATGCCTCACCTCTAATTATAGAATTTTTTTCTTCCATTTCCTTTCCTGATTTTAATACACGATTTAAAATAGTGTTCTTTTCACTGCTGTTAGAGAATAAATTGACTTAAAGGGGTTTTCCACATATCAGGTGGTACAGAAGACTCAGTTGAGCTATATTGCCAAAAGTATTGGGACACCCCTCCAAATCAATGAATTCAGGTGTTCCAATCACCTCCATGGCCACAGGTGTAGAAAATCAAGCACCCAGGCATGCAGACTGCTTCTACAAACTTTTGTGAAAGAATGCGTTGCTCTCAGGATCTCAGTGAATTCAAGCGTGGTTTCATGATAGGTTGCCACCTGTGAAAATTGTCCATCCATGAAATTTCCTTGCTACTAAAATATTCCACGGTCAACTGTTAGTAGTATTATAACAAAGTGAAAGCAACTGGGAAAAACGGCAACTCAGCCACCAAGTGGTAGGCCACGTAAAATGGTAGAGTGTGGTCAGCGCATGTTGAAGCGCACAGTGCTCTGAAGTCGCCAATTGTCTGCAGAGTCAATAGCTAAAGACCTCCAAACTTCGCGTGGCCTTCAGATTAGCACAACAGTGCATAGAGCGCTCCATGGAATGGGTTTCCATGGGCGAGCAGCTGCATCCAAACCTTACATCATCAAGTGCAATGCAAAGTGTGTGATGTAGTGGTGTAAAGCACGCCGCCACTAGACTGTAGAGCAGTGGAGACTCTGGAGTGATGAACCATGCTTCTCTGTCTGCAATCCGATGGATGTGTCTGGGTTTGACTGTTGCCAGGAGAACGGTACTTGCCTAGTGTAAAGTTTGGTGGAGAAGGGTATTTGATGGGTTGTTTTTCAGGGGTTGGGCTTGGCCCCCTAGTTCCAGTGAAGGGAACTCTTAAGGCGTCAGCATACCAAGACATTTTGGACAATTTCATGATCCCAACTTTGTGGGAACACTGTGGGGATGGCCCCTTGCTGTTCTAGCAAGACTGCTCACCAGTGCACACCACTATGTCCATAAAAACAAGGATGAGCGAGTTTGGGGTGGAGGAACTTCACTGGCCTGCACGCAGTCCTGACCTCAACCTGATAGAACATCTTTGGAATGAATTATAGCGGAGTCTGCGAAGAGCCAGGCCTTCTGGTCTGACATCAGTGCGCTTCTGATAGAATGGTCAAACATTCCATTAGACACACTCCTAAACCTTGTGGACAGCCTTCCCAAAAAAGTTGAAGCTGTTATAGCTGCAAAGGGTGGGCCAACTCAATATTGAACCCTATGGACTAAGATTGGGATGCCATTAAGGTTCATGTACATGTAAAGGCAAGCGTCCTAATACTTTTGGCAATATAGTGTATGTATGACCTAGGTACCCTGACATTGCCAGAAGAAACTGTAGGTCATATTTAAAGGTTAAGTTGACCTTTCAAAACATGTTACACCCACCACTTTAACAACTAGCGGGGGATCTTCTCTCCCCCCATTAGCTGTCAAATTTAAGAAAAGTGCCCCCCCCCCCCTCCTGTCAGTATATCTGCTTGCTCGTACATCCCGTGTGGGCAAGCAGATGTACTAGGAGATCTGCGTGGCACCAGCAACCTGATTGGTGGTGCAATGGTTTCCAGGCTCCTGCAACCAAAAATAATAAATGCACATTTTGTTAACTGCAAAAATGCGCATTTATTATTTTTGGTAAAAAAGTAAACTTATTCTTTAACCACTTCAATACAGGGCAGTTTTACCCCCTTCCTGCTCAGGCATTTCTTCATAAATTTAGGCCATAATGTATTCTACTACATTTCTTTGGAGAAAATACCCCAAATTAGTGTATATTATTTAGTCTGTAGGAAAGTTATAGAGTCCACAAACCAAGGTTTTTTAAACAAGCATTTATCTATTGTTAAGGAGCGGGGCTGCTGCATCCTTAAAAGAGAAGTATGGGTTAATTTTTTTTTTTTTTTTTTTTTTGCATAATCTGAATCCTAGTGAGCTGCTGCTATGAAAAACTATGTTCTGTCCTCTGAAATGTACATCCTTTCTTCCGCAATCAAAGAAAATACCTGTGGGAGGGGCTGAGGTCTCTCATGTAGCGTGATCCCGACATTGAAGTCAGTATCCTCCCCCCTACTGACTGACATTAGCTTATGACAGTCTGCACACTCCGGAGACTTCAGCTCTTCTACACTCTCCCCTCCTTACTCCACCTATGCAGGCTGTTCAGTTTCTTCACACACAAGCAGCTTCTATCCCCCTACTCCCCCCTCCCATCAAGGTCGTTGTGAGTCAGAGTTTCACTTACAGACATGCTGCTGCTTTCTCCTTCCTCCTTCCTTCCCCCTCCCATCCAGGCTGCGCTCTCACTGCTGAACTTTCTCAGTTTCTCTCTCTGCACAGTGAAGCAGAGAAGAAGCTGAAGAACATTTATTCATTTTTTTCTTGTACATTACAGTCTCCTGGACTTGCAAATGCCTCAGCATACTGTTATGTTCCTCTGTTTCTTGCTGACAGTGTAAAGTCATGGAAACAGGCACGTGACAGGCAGGCATGTTCCAGCTTGTGTCTGTGAGGAAAACGTGGTCACAGCTGAGAACTGACGGAAGGAGAGGATAAGGGGGTTGCTCACTCCACATGTACACCCATACCTAACTTTCAAACCTGAAGAGGACCGTTATTCAGCCCTAACCAGGGCTTGGAATAGGGATACAGCAAAAATAGAGCAACATAGAAAAGAAAGAAAAGCTGATCTGTGGTAAGGGTAGTTAATGCTATCTATTTGCACTATCCCATACTTCTCCTTTAGCAACGAATGACATTTCAACTGTCAGCGGGATTGCCCTTCCCCTCCCACCAGGTCCGATGCCAGCAAAAAGGCCGCACAGGCAGGGTGCTATGATGCGTAAAATCCCCAGACACTTGGTAACCCTGCCACCTTGCTGACACAGTCACCCCCACAGCTTTCTACGATCACACTCCCAGCCAGAGAATGAGCCAGGTATGAGGAGGGGGAGATAAAGGCATAGGCTGTGCGTTTGTTCTGCTAGAGGCATCTCCTCCAGACACCACAACATGACAACTGACGTGGACAGTAGCAATACCCCCAGCCTTCTGTCCTGCATGATCTGCTTCCAGGACCCTGAGCAGATAATCTGTATAGTGTAATGCTGGGATATCATTGTCCACCTATCTACACCCATCAGGGATAAAGATCCCTTCCTGTCTCCTGGCCTGTCACCTGTGTCCAAAAGTGATCAGCATACTGAAGAGGGGGGGGGGGGTCCTCATTACATGACACATAGCCAGCACTGCACACACATGTAATCAGACAGAACATTTGCACACATCTATGGGATAACTTTCATGTCCCCTACATTTTGATCATTCCATATCCTCCTTTGACAATCCTGGCTCATTCATTATCTTAAAGAACTCCGTGAAATAAAAAACAATTCTATGCATTGGGGCTGTGACTGTACATGGGTTAACAGCTCATTTTTGTCTAGGGGTTTGCCATGCCCTCACCCCCCCAGCTCCAGGAGGAATTCAGATGTGCATAATTATTAGGCATTTGTGAAACTGTTCAGATAGAGGCAACACTCTGGAAGTATCTAAACCATTGAGGTGTGACAAGTTGAAAATAAAACCTTTTAATGTGACTAGCCAATAAGGTTACAAAAATGCAAAAAGCAAAAAAAAGAGGCAAATTAAGTGCAAACAAAACTTGAGAAGAATATAGAACTACAAGGAATCAATTAACATCCTATCATAGCATAGTCCATAACTGCAACCTAGTAGGAGGGTCCAGACTCCAGAAGTACAATGTGGAAAGTGCTCATAGACATGGCTAAGGTAAAGAGCGTTAAAACACAACCCTGATGAATAGGATGCACAAGCTGAGTGTCAAGATTGTACAGGTGAAATGGGAATGACTCCTTGAGGAACTATCCATCAAGCTTTTTGTTTAATTTTTTTGTGCCCCTAGCATCCCACTCCTTCAAATGGCAGCATATCCAATGTGTATATGATTGATCCTCAGTCAACAGCTCTTTCTCTAAATAAATACAAGGAACATAATTTTGCTGTAAGTAAAATTCTATTTTACCCCTAAGAAAGACAAAAAACTCCCCTTTCCTTTTGTTAAACATTCACATTTGCAAAATAAAGTTTTGGATTGACTGAGAGCATTGCACAGTGTTTATTCAACAATAACAATAATCCCGAGAATACAATTTGCATACTAAGTGAATCTGTTTCCTCTTCTAGATTTATGATGGTGCTGGCCAGTAATCAGCCAGAACAGTTTGACTGGGCCATCAACGATCGAATAGATGAGATTGTCAACTTCGATCTTCCTGGACTGGAGGAGAGGGAGCGCCTGGTCCGACTTTACTTTGATAAATACGTCTTAAAACCAGCAAGCGAGGGCAAGCAGTAAGTGTGGACAATGTTGCCAAGTATGCTGATTGTGTACAGACTGTAGGAAATATCTAAACTATTGAGGTATGACCTGCATCTCCAGTCCTAAACTTCTTCTATTTTGTCAGATTGATATGAAGAGCACTAACATTTTCTAAATGCTGCAAAGAATTGGTGGCCCTTCTTTAATCCTTTTATTTCTGCTCATTTTTGTATATAATTTTTTCTGATACTCTCTAATTCGATGTTGAATCTATTTTAATTCCGTTTTCAAACAGTACAGAGCATGAGCATCAGAGTACATGTCCATTTCCATCAACTACATAAACTCATAGAAGCAAAGTTACTTCCTGATTTAGCATTATTGCTTCCTGGGTCAGCCTGTGCTCATTGGACAGAGGGGATGATGCCAAATGAAGAGTCTGGAGGCAGAAGGGGTGAAATAGTAAGCTCTGTTTGTGGAAACGTGTGTAAATCACAAGATCAGCTGTACAAAATTTTAATCGTTTAGCAGATACAATATATGCATTTCAACTGTGTATTTAGCTATTGTCATGGAGGTTTTCTTCAGTGGTGCTCCAGATATGTTTACAATGAAAAATTCATTTAGTTGTACTGTGCAGGACACAGGATCTTTAATATTTAACCATGGTTTATATACAGTATATGAACACTGGCAAAAAATGAAAGCTGCGGGGACATCCCCTTTATGGCCCCTCCCTCCCCCAGCAATCGTAAGAAAAGCTTACCTCTTTTTCTTATGAATGTTTTCTCCTATCAAGATTCCTGGCTGCACCATAGCCACTGCGGCTCTTTCTGCAGCTTACAAGATCGATTGACTGCTTGGCTGAGTCTTGGGGGTCCATACTTGGGCCCCTCTTGGATTAAGATGTGGGTCCAGCCTATAATGTTGCTTTGGGCTCTGGATCCTGCATGGGTACTCACCTTGACATGGGATGCACGATGTTAAGTTAGCCACAGGATGCTATACAAGTCCGGATCCATGCTCTACCAAGAGTGGACCCCTGTCCGCAAAGACCCCTTTGAGGGTATGCCCACCATGGAGGGTGAAGCCAGGATGTGATGTCATCCTATGTATACGGTCTAAAGTGGGAAGACATCTGCCACAGTAAGAGTAGGGCTTGCACCCTTTATATTTTCCGCAGGGTGGGTTCTGATGCTCGGGGTTATTTACAGTACCAAAAGTGGTAACCCCGAGCCACACTCGCGATTACACTGTAGTACTTCTCCTGCGATTCCCCCAATCCTTACCTTGTCCTGCAATCCCATGATGTCCTCCTACTGTGTCCTCCGGCCGATGCCAGCATCCGTCTTCTGGGTTTCGTTCCCTATGAGCATCGGTATACGGGAGGGCAGAACCGGCGGGAGATTAAAAAAAGTGAAAATATGACATACACACAATACACTGTAATCTGTTAGGATTACATTACTGTATCAAACATATTCACCTAAATATTGTCCCTATTGATTTGTCCAGTGCCCTGCCTGCACTTTTACTGTTCTTTCTGCCTGGAAACTTGAGAACGTTCATGGCATCCAAAAAGCGTCCCTTAAGGTCAAAAGTGGTTTTAGACCAGCTAGAAAACCGCAATAGTGAATTAGAATCACTTGCAGAATTGAGCGATAGTGATTCGTGGGGAAATTCGTCATCAGACACTGAAAATGATTCTGCGACTGAGCTCAGTGATGTGCGAACTTGGTGCTCTATTTCAAATTTCAGTGTTTTTGATTTGATTACATATCTTTTTGAAGTTTTAAATTCACACCATCCCCTTCAAGTTCTTAAAAATGTTTCCATTTTATCCTCTTCACTATGGTATGATTCCTCCATCCTATAAATATACTCTACTCTAGATATCCAATCCTTTTCCCTTGGTATCTCCTGGGCCCGCCAAAACTTTGGGATCAATCCCTTTGCAGCATTTAAAAAATGAAAAATCTTCATATTCTTGTACTGTTTCACCGTTAACTCAGTGTTATGAAATAAGCAAGCCCATGGTTCTTGTAAGATTTTAACTCCCGAGATCTCTTGTATTTGTTGTACTATATCCTTCCAAAACGCCTGTATCTTAGGGCATTCCCACCATAAATGTGCCATATTTCCCTTTATCCCACATTTCTCTCCAGCAAAGTGGTGAGCTCTCTGGTTGTTGTGCCATGCTAGGTGTAATGAACCATCTTGCCAAACATTTATAATTGTTTTGTACAATTTTCATATCCACCACCCCCTGTGCCAAATTAAGTATCTTCCTTTTTTTGCTGTTTGTCTAATTGAGTTCCAAATTCTGTCACCCATCTCTCCAAAAACAACAGAGGTAGGTCTGGACATTTTAGTAAATATTTTATATATACGAGAAATACTGTGTTTCTGTGTAGTACCTGCACTCAGCATCTGTTCAAATGGATGCAGGTCTTTTACTACCCTTACTGGTGGTGGGAGTGCCATTGGGGATGATTTTCCTAAGCTGAAACTGGTGCTTTAGTCAAGGTGGAGGGACTTGTAAACAGTTCCAAATATCAGTAAATTTTGGCACAAAACCTTCAAGCCTCTGCTAAAAAGGTGACTGAAGAGGAATTTTACCTTTCAGTATGCCAACAACCAAAAACCTACCTCCAAAACAGAATGGCTTCATCAGAAGATGATCAATGATTTTGGAATGCCCCAACCTGAGCCTGGACCTGAATCCAGTTAAAAATCTGTGGGGTGATCTGAAGAGGGCTGTGCACAGGAAATGCCCTTGCAATCTGACAGATTTGGAGTGCTTTTGCAAGAAAGATTGGGCAGATTCCCAAGGCAAGATAGCCTACTACCCCCAGAATACTGTCATAAAATCAAAAGGTGCTTCAATAAAATATTAGTTCAAGGGTGTGCATATTTATGAAACTGCATTTATTTCAAGTTTTAATTTTTTTCCCCTTTTAAAGATTTAAGGTTGTTTTTGTTGAAAGTGCACAGATTGTAGGTCACATACAGTTGTGGCCAAAATTATTCAACCCCCACTGAAATTGAGTGTTTTGGCCAGTTTGACATTGCTTTTGATCATTCAGTCATCTTGCTTACATTTACATTAAAGAGGCACTTGTAGGTCAGACAAATATAACATAACAGTTATAATGAAATAACCACAAATGTCTTTTCTGTGCTCACAGCATTATCAGTTTTATTCAACCCCCAAGTGACATTCAATCTAGTACTTAGTACAGCATCCTTTTACAGTTATAACAGCTTTTAAACGTGAAGCATAGCTTGACACAAGTGTCTTGCAGCGATCTACGGGTATCTTCGCCCATTCTTCATGGGCAAAGGCCTCCAGTTCAGTCACATTCTTAGGCTTGCGCACTGCAACTGCTTTCTTTAAGTCCCACCAGAGGTTCTCAATCGGATTTAAGTCTGGTGACTGCGATGGCCACTCCAAAATGTTCCAGCCTTTCCTCTGCAACCATGCTCTAGTGGACTTGGAGGTATGCTTGGGATCATTGTCCTGTTGAAAGGTCCAACGTCTCCCAAGCCTCAGTGTGTGTGACGGACTGCATCACGTTTCCATCCAAAATCTCCTGGTACTGAAGAGAATTCATGGTACCTTGCACACGCTGAAGCTTCCCTGTACCTGCAGAAGCAAAACAGCCCCAAAGCATGATTGACCCTCCACCATGCTTCACAGTAGGCAAGGTGTTCTTTTCATCATAGGCCTTGTTCTTCCTCCTCCAAACATAGCGTTGATCCATGGGCCCAAACAGTTTCTAATTTTGTTTCATCAGTCCACAGAACACTATCCCACAACTTTTGTGGTTTGTCCACATGGCTTTTGGCATACTGCAGTCGACTCTTCTTATTCTTTGGAGACAGCAAGGGGGTACGCCTGGGAGTTCTGGCACGGAGGCCTTCATTACGCAGTGTGCGTCTTATTGTCTGGGCTGAAACTTCTGTACCCACATCTGACAAATCTTTTCTCAGTTCCTCAGCAGTCACACGGGGACTTCTCTCCACTCTACGCTTCAGGTAGCGCACAGCAGTCGAAGTCAGCATCTTCTTTCTGCCACGACCAGGTAGCGTTTCAACAGTGCCCTTTGCCTTGAAATTTTGCGAATGATGCTTCCTAAGGTGTCTCTTGGTATGTTTAACATCTTTGCAATCTTCTTATAGCCATTGCCCTTCCTGTGAAGAGAAATCACCTCTTCTCTTGTCTTCCTGGACCATTCTCTTGCCTTCACCATGTTTGTAACCACACCAGTAAATGTCTAGAAGGAGCTGAGTATCACAGTCATTTTAAAGCTGCCTAATTGGTGCTTATTATGCTTGATTGCTGCTCGGTGACATCCACAGGTGTTTTCAATACCTGATGGAAAGCACCTGTATGAACCTCTGTTCTTCAGAGTGGTAGTCTTTAAGGGGTTGAATAATTGTGGCAATGAAGAAACCACATAAGAACCATTTACTACTGTATTACATAAACAATTGATGTCATTTTAGTTGCATTTGGGTAGTTACAACGTCCTTGTAGGATTTGATTCTGAATACAATTCCAAATGTACACTATAGTCCCTAAACCCCTTTACAGCATTGGGGGTTGAATAATTTTGGCCACAACTGTAGATGGAAAGCATTCAGGGGTGATTTTTACCATGGTCTGATTTTTTTTTTTTTTTTTTTTTGTATCTCAGAAACCTGGGCTTTTTACAGGGATATGTAGACTTTTTTTTTAATCCACTGTACATTCAAGTGAAACTGTGGTGCCCAAATTACCTGTGTAATTAAAGACCTCTGTTTCATGTCTGTGCAGTAATTTTTCAGTTCTCTTGCGACATACGGATCTGTACTTTCAGGCTTCAGAGCCATTGCCCTGTGCCATGTACAGTCTTCCTTGCAGAGACAATTGCTAAATTATCCCACTTTTTACAGTGCATTAGCTCACCCTTTGGCTTTTCTAACTGTTTGCTTCACGTTCTTTTTCTGTAGACGTTTGAAAGTTGCCCAATTTGACTATGGAAAGAAATGTTCAGAACTGGCAAAAATAACTGAAGGCATGTCTGGCCGAGAGATCTCCAAACTGGGTGTCGCTTGGCAGGTGAGTGGCTAAAGTACCTTTTTGGACTGAACTTGTCAAAGCCTAAGATATTGGTTATCATAAAAACTACAAGCCCTAGATTTCCCTGATGGCTATAATTCCTGTAAAATGCATAAGCTGATTTTAATTTCATGTGGAGTCTATAAATCTATAAAACTAGCTGTTTATATAGTGGTGGTGATATAGCAAGGTTTGTTTTGTGACTAAAATTGTATATAAACCGTGACAATACACTTCTATCATTTGCTTTCTTTTCGTCTGGTAAAACAAAATGCTTTCAAAGGTATATTTATCTACTTGACAAGGGCAAAAAAAACAGTCAGAAATTCAGAGCTGTCTCCACAAGCACAGAGAAGCAAATACACCCTATAAAAGTGGCTTACTTTTACAACATGTTGGGACAGAAAAACATTGAATTTTCAAGGAGTACCTATTGATAAAGGTAGTATTCTTGGTGAAAAACACAAGGAAATTTTGCCTTTTCAGTATTTTATTTAACAAAAAATATTAGAAAATCTAATAGTGTATTATGCATAGCAGAGCCATACAAAGCAGTGTGCTTACAGTGAAGCACACGCAGCGCACATAATGTGAAACCGCACACAGTTAACCCTTTGATTGCCCACCTGTTAACCCCTTCCTGCCCAGTGCCATTTGTACAGTCTCAGTGCATTTTTTATTAGCACTGGTCACTGTATTGGTGTCACTGGGGATGTCAGTGACACCAAGTCAGTTCGCCCCAGTGTCAGAATGCCCACCGCAGTCCTGCTATAAGTCGCTGATCACCGCCATTATAGTAAAAAAAATAAAAAATTGCAGTGTATATATACCGGCATTTTTAAATGCTATAACTTTTCACGTAAACCAATTAATTTACACGTATTGGGATTTTTTTTCTTAGCAAAGACATGTAGCAGAATACATTTTGGCCAAATTTATGAAGAAATTTGATATTTTACATTTTTTACTGGACATGTTTAATAGCAAAAAGTCCAAAATATTGTTTTTTTTCTCAAAATTGTCATTCTTTTTTTGTTTATAGCGCAAAAAATAAAAAACCGCACAGGCAATCAAATACCACCAAAAGAAAGCTCTATTCGTGGGAAAAAAATGACATAAAATTTCATTTGGGTACAGCATTACATGACCACGCAAATGTCAGTTAAAGTAACACAGCGCCGTATCGCAAATAATGGCCTGATCAGGAAGGGGGGTAAATCCTCTGGAGGGAAAGTGGTTAGGTTTGCAAAGGGAAACCTGTAGGGGGAGTGAACACTGAGGGTAGGAGCAGGCAGGAAGATGGGAACATACTAAGGGCTGCCATAGATTCTAGGATGTGTCTGCTGACGGTAGGATATAGAAATAAAGACCAATGAGTTGGAGGCTCAGTCTTTGCTTTAGTACTCTTTAAGAGATGTGATTTGGGCATGTCAATATAATGCCATATTGATTTGTGTAACATGAATTTAGATGATGGGTCCGCTTTAAATTATATTTTCCACCTATTAAAGATCTTTTTATCTGCACTTGAAAGCAGCATACTGCAATAGTAACATTTCTCTCCTCCACCACCCTCCATACAGAGGCCTTGTGTGTCACTCTAATTAGGACCCATTTGCAGATACATTCAGGTCTTCCCCCATTATTCCTGCATGTTTCTGCATCCCTTTCAGAAAAATACCAAACCAAATAATGGTATTAAAAGCAAGAGAGAGCCTAAAATGACAGCGCGCCGCCCGATTTGAGCCGAGAAAGCTCAGCTTGTGTGACAAATTGGGGAAAATGACTGCAGAGCAGTGTTTCAAGCCCATTATCTCTGCTGGGTGGATAACCATTTGCATTAGCAAGGGCCGACATCCATGCTAGCGCATTGAATGGAAGTGTTTGCATTGACTGTCTCCCCACAGGCTGCTCTGCCTTTTGTCAGGCTCGTGCTGGATTGCGAGGAGATGTGATCCCCCCCCCCCCCCCCCCCCCCCCCCCCTCCTCATCCTAGTCTCTGCAGCAGATGTGCTCAGTCCAGTTCAGGGGTGAATCTACAGAGCGGAACAAGGATTTCTAATGGGGCTTCTGGGGAGAGGAATCTCTGACATTTTCTGTTGCTATGGAGAATGAGCAGGCTTTAAAGCTCAAGTTCACCTTTTTGTCTACGTTTATTTCCTATGTGTTCTATATTTTCCCAGTTAAATAAAACTATACTGTTCCTAATTCTTCATTGCCTATTTTAAGTTTTTACATGTTTCAGTTTAAAGGTTACTCCACCCACAGCTGATATTTCTGTAGATGCTAGAAAGGTAACAAAAAGTTTTGGGGTCATGGAGAACTGGGCAAACCTTGTGGTTACTGGCCCTACAGCAGAAATGGACTGCACCTTAATGGGGAGAGCTCAGCTCTTTTGGGGGAGAAGATGGATAGAAGGTTGGAGAAACTAGGATATGGGGGAGGGATGGGTGAGAGGTGTAATGTGGAGTGAGAAAAGGTCAAATTGTAAAGTGGGGGGGGAGGGGGTGGAATGGAGGGCCTTAAACCAGAGTGAAACTAAAGTTTCCAAGACCAATGGTAGGCTGGCTGAATCTCACTGTATTGAAAGAGCAGGCAAGGATAAAATAACATGCACTCGTACAAAATCAAAAGATGTGCACAAATGCTGAAAGCCTGGATATTAAAAATTGAAGAACTAGAACTTCTGATGCATGAGGATTTTGACTTCATGGGAATATCAGAAATTTGGTTTGACAGCTTGCATGAACTGGCTTACGACTATCTAAGGGTACTTCCTGTATCAGAGGGTCAGGGTAGGGGTGTGTGTGTCTGTCTGGTGGGGGCGAGCCTTTATGTTAAGAGCGATTTGATAGTGAATATGAGTAATGACTATGCTAACGGGGCTAGTGAAGAGGTAGAGTCTTTGTGGCTGAAGCTTCAAAGGGATAAAACATAGGCTATAGGCCTCCTAACATTGAGGATGAGACTCCTCTCCTTTAACACTTAGAGATGATGGGGGACAGGGCAATGTTATAATCATGGGGGACTTCTACTATCCTGATATTGATTGAGCAAAGGAAACTGCTCTCAGTTAATGTCCATTATTTCTTGAATGTAATGCAGGACAATTTCATGTGTCAAATGGTGGAAGCTCCAATTAGGACTAATGCTCTGCTGTACCTTTTAATTACAAACATTACAGGGCTGATTTCAGATGTGGAAGTAAGGAATGACTTTGGAAACCGTGACCAGAGTACTTTAGCCATTAATGATAGGAAATGGAGACATGAAGGTAGCACAACAACTGCCACTAGGCAACAAATATAAACAAACAAATGTTAAACTTGGGTGGATAAATACAAAGTTAAAAGGCATATTACAAAGAAAAAAATTTCCTTTTAAGAAATATAAGGCCAAAGGGTCACCAGTAGCATTAACAAACTACAAAGAGTGCAATAGGAATGCAAACTGGGCAGCTAAAATAGATTATGGGATACGTGATGCAAAGGAGAGTAAAAAAAATGTTTTTCCTTTTAACTATTAATAGTAAAAATTGTAGGTTAGAACCACAGATAAGGGGAAGTTGATCACAACTGACAGGGAAAAGGCAACTGTATTATATACATTCTTCTCAGCTTATATGAATGAAAAGAAGGGGTATAGTAAACAAAACATTAAGGTAATAACAATGTATTGAATGTACCCATGTTCAAAGAGACTTGAAAACCTTTAATGTGAATAAATCACCAGGACCACATGGCTTACATCTGAGAATTCTCAATGAACTTAGCCATGTTATAGCCAGACCATTATTCCTAATTTTTAGGGACAACCTACTGAGTGGAATGGTACCCGCAGATTAGCGAAAAGAAATGTGGTACCACTATTCAAGAATAAACCAAGATAGATACCAGGAAACTACAGAGCAGTCAGCCTAACATCGATCGTATGTAAACTATTAGAAGGAATAATAAGGGACCATTTCCAAGAATTTGCTGATGAAAAATAGTATAATTAATAACCAACCTTGATTTATGAAAGACTGTGCTTGCCAGACCAACCTTTTAACATTGAAGTTTTGTTTACCTGCATGGATTTTATGCATAAAGGTGAAAAACCTATGTGCAACTCCACCAGCCCCCCCCCCCCCCCTAATTTTCACCTAAGCCCCCTCTCGATCCATCGATGTGCACTGGAGTCTCGGCTATCCCAAGACTCCCTCTTCCCATCGGCTCCCACTGCTGTCCATCACAGCCAGTGAGAAGAGAGGGGGTGGGGCCAAGCTGCAGCTCCGGCTCAGCTGCTTGCTGTGGGGGCAACCGACAAGAGGGAAGGGCCAGGAGAGCCTGCGGGGGACCCGAGAAGAGGAGGATCCAGGCTGCTCTATGTAAAACCACTGCACACAGCAGAGCAGGTAAGTATAGACATGTTTGTTGCTTTTTCTGTTAAAAAAAAAAATAAGCCTTTAGGTAATGTACTTGGAGATTCTATGGGGCTTGTTGCTAAAGTAACGTACAGACCGAAGTGAAGTGTGCCAGTACAGACAAGCAGGGGTGCAATACCATTCAAGAACCAAAGCCAGAAAGTTAGCAGTCCTCAACCTTTTCAAGTTTTTCAATTCTGGGGTATCCCATGCTTTCAACCCTTTGTTCCCCAATAAAAAAACACCAAAAACAAAACCCTTAGACTGATCATTGAGCCAGAGAGAGACTGTCGGAAATGCTGTGTGTCTGGGTGTGGGTGCTGTAAAGGGGGAAGTAGACCCAATTACTAACACCTGCTGCAAGGGTAGCCCAATCTTGAGTATACAATCCAGTTTTGGTCATCAATCCTCAGGAAAGATGTACTTTGAACTGTAAGGAGTTCAGGGAAGGGCAACAAAGCTGATAAGTGGTCTAGGAGACCTTGGTAAGAAGAAAATTACTACAAGCACTAAATTATTCTCCCTGGAAAAGAGGCACCTAAGGAGGGGATTCGATCAAGACAATAGTGACTCTAGCATTGGGAGAAAACTATTTCGCTTAACGTCGCCAATGAAGACATGCAGCCAAACAATGAAGTTGGATG